CCACCTCCCGCGCACAGCGGTTTTCCCTCACTACCATGAGGACCCAGAGCAAAGAGAAAAGTAGCCCCGATGAGTCAGAACGCTCTCCGGCTGGAAAACCACCATTGGAGAGGCCAGGAAATGACAGTGGCAGCCGCCCGTGGTCGGTGAGCTATAAACCACACCCAGGGCCCTGTGAACCCGGGGGACCTCGAATATTTCAGGAAAAAAAAAACCCTCCCCCCAGCGAGGTTGGGTTTTGTTCCGTGTGACTCTAACCCGCGTCTTTTCCTGCAGAGCTTCCTGGATTCCTGCCGGAAGGAAAGGAAGCTTCAGATCTCCGAGGGGCAGCTCCTCCCGTGTGCGGTACACAGGCCTCCCCCGGAGCCCGTGTTCCTGGAACCCGCTTCCTGGGCAGGACGTGCAGGGGTAGCCAAGCTGTGAAAGCAACACAGAGATAAGACCCGTGACGTTGTCCTTGTGGCAGAAAGGCCGTCCGCTCACGCTCCGCAGAGACAGTGAATCCTGGATTTAGAAGGGACTCCGTCAGTGTAAGTGAGCACGGCCCCTCCTTTTTTATTTGAATTTTTACCTCTCCCCGGGGTGGGGGCCGCTTATGAATCAACGCTTCAAAGACTTAGAGGTCCTGGGAGAACATGGCACTGGGTTCGTGGCTTCTTTTGGCTTCTACTCTTGTGTGCAATGAAACCACGCCTGCTGGTCTCCTCAGGTAAGAGCAGAAATGACCAGCTGGAATGCCCATCTGCCCAGACATAGTGTAAATGCTCACACACTTTGAAACTTTTTAAAAGTCAGAAGTAGTAGGAGACATGATGTCTGCGGTCCCAGGATACATCATGGTAACCTGTGTGGCTGGAGTAAGTGTGCATTCATCTCGGAGGCCCTTGGACACGGGGCCCTGATGTACATTTAAATTGTTCACAGGGTGAGTCCATTTTCATTAAGCTTCAGTTTGATTTTTAACATTTCTTCATGGTCCTGTGTGAATGCCATTTTGGTTATGGTTTCAAAATAGTACCTACCTCTGAAAGGGCTTCTGTATTTATTAATTTTTTTTAAACTTTTAAAAATATACATATTTTATTGACTATTTACAGAGAGGAAGGGAGAGGGATATAGAGTTAGAAACATCGATCAGCTGCCTCCTGCACACGCCCTACTGGGGATGTACCCGCAACCAAGGTACATGCCCTTGACCGGATCAAACCCTGGACCTTTCATTCCGGAGGCTGACGCTCTATCCACTGAGCCAAACCGGTTTCAGCTGTATTTATGAATTTAACAACTACTGCTGCTTGTCCCAGTATCACCAGGCCTCAGAGATGGAGTGGAGGGCAACACAGAATGTGTGTTCCTGTCAGCTGGCTCTTTGGGCTCAAAGAGGAAAATGAAAAAGGAAGCAAGCAAAAATTAAGTAATTTTATGTGATGTTAATTCCTGGGGGGTGGGGAGGGGAGAAAGAGTGCTAGGGTGATCTGACTGATTCGATGTCTATGATATGGAAACATGTAAAGTGAAGAATGAAAAAAATTAGCCAGGCAAAAGTTCCGGGTTTTCCAGGCTGCGAGAGAAGCATGTGCAAAGGCCCGGAGGTCCACAGGTTTTTGGTAAAGCAGGAGCTCCTGCTTTATCGTGGTTGGGGAACAGCAATGTGGCTGCTAGGCTGGTCCAGGCGGTGCCAGCTTGTAGGCCAAGGGAAGCAATTGGAATTTTCCTGAGCATGTTGGGAAGCCATGTGAGGACTTTAACCAAAAGCAGGACTTGGTTTCCATTTAAAAAGAGCTTTCTGGCTACTGGTTGAGAGGAAGTAGGGAAGAGGAAGAAACCCCCACTTCCTTTGTAAGGATTAAATGAGATAATAAATGCTTAGCATTTGGTGCAATACTTGACACACAATGATTACCCAGTTCATATGAGTGATTATTATTAATGATTATTATCAATATTAGTAACGATAATGCCTCAGTTTGGCATCGTACCTGATGGCATAAATTCAACACATATATCTGAAATTAAGTGTCCTCCCTGATTTCATCCAGTATAATGTAAAAAAAAAAAAAAAAAAAAAAAATTAGCTCAAAAGTTGGGAAGTGAGTTTGTTGGCCAAGCTGGGACTCAAACATAACACCAGTATTGCTCCCTAAACTGTTTACTGTATTATTGTCCATATAGTAAGTTGTATCTGTTAAATGCAAACTTAAAAAAAAATTAACTTATTTATTTTTAATCCTCGCCTGAGGTTGTGTTTCTATTGGTTTTTAGAGAGAGAGGAAGAGAAGGAAGGAGGGAGGGAGAGGGAGAGAAAGGGAGAGAGAGAATCATTGATGTGAGAGAGAAACTTCGATCGGTTGCCTCCTGTACTTGCCCTGACCAGGATCAAACCTCTCAGTTCAATGGAACAACACTCAAACCAACTGAGCCACACCAGTCAGGGCGAGTGCAAACTTGTTAATGAGCAAGTGTGTGAAACATTTCCCCCACTAATTGAATTAGTATACCAGTCTATTAAAGAAGATACCCCCCCCCCCATTACAGTTGCCATTCAATATTAAATTAGTTTCAGGCATACAGCATAGTGGTTAGAAATTTAAGAAGACATTATAAGAAGACACTAGAAAGTATTTTCCAGAAATCATCACATTTTCTTCTGTGGGATTTACTTTTGACCCAACCAAGAATATACGCAGAGTGTTTGCAAAATTAGCAATTATATACTAAATCCCAAGCTTTGGGAAGGGTCTTTATTGGCCACGGAAAACCAGACCATCTGTACCCATTCTTCCTGCTCTCCAGTCGGGTGGGTATTGAGCACCGGATGGCAGCTCCTCAGCCTTCAGACACTGGGGTAGAACTGAGAACTGCTGAGGAACTTTGTGCCCTCTCCTGAGCCTCAGTTTACCCATCTATTAAATGGTTGTAGTAATCGAGCTCTCCTTCTAGGGCTGTGAGGATAAAGGAAGGGGATTCATTCAAGTCTATTCATAGTGTCAGACATACAAAGAGCTCAATATTGTTAACTAGTGAAGTTATTATTATTATTTTTTAAATATATTTTATTGACGTTTTACAGAGAGGAAGAGAGGGATAGAGAGTTAACATCGATGAGAGAGAATCATCAATCAGTTGCCTCTCGCACACCCCCTACTGGGTATGTGCCCGCAACCAAGGTACATGCCCTTGACCGGAATCGAACCTGGGACCCTTCAGTCCGCAGACTGATGCTCTATCCACTGAGCCAAACCGGTTTCAGCTGGTGAGATTATTATTGTTATTGAAGATCAGAGTACCTGCTCTCCTTTATTTGACCCTTGTAATCCCAGATTTAAAAAAAAAAAAAAAAAAAAGATAGTTTTGGCATTTGATAAAAATTGCTTTGCTTATCAGAAAACTTTAGTGTGAGGACTTCAGCTATTTTATCTGTGACCCTAATCTGACCCCAGAGCCAGGATGAGACCTGGAAGAGACCCCACACCCCACCCCTCACCCACCAGCTGCCCAATCTCAAGCCACAACCTCCCAGCTCTGAGAGCTGGCCCTCCAAGGCGGCTGGAAATTGCACTGGTAGCCGGGGAGTGTGATAAGCCACAGGGTCTGGGGTTTCAATTCCCTCTGTCCTCTGCCTCTCTAACTGGCAGTAATTATCTCTGCGATGCTCTAATGCTAAATAATGATGCCGCTAATGCACGCTGCATTTCCACGCACAGGTGCCAGCTGTTACCTCGCTGCCCGGGCAGCTGACCGCCTGGTGCACTCTTGGGCACAGTCCCTGGGCCCAGCCCCTGCCCACACCAACAAAACAAAGACCACCCAGCCTTCCAGCCTGTCAGCCTGCCCAGGCCCTTCCCCCTGGGCGGAGGAGGCCTCCTCCTAGCTCCCTTCCCAGCCCCCTCGGCCCTCCCTCTTCTCCAGCCCCTTCCCCTCACTGCCCTCCCTCCCTCCCACTGGTGGTTTCTTCCTGCGACAGAAATCCAGGAAACCGCCCCCCACACTTCCTCTACCCACGGCTTCTCTCCCTCCTCCCCCCCCTCCATCCCCAGGGCCTGACGCACACACAGGCCAGTGTGGTGTGGAGTTCCCTTTGCCTGTCCCAGGAGAAGCCCTGACTCACCCATTCATTGCTGGGAGGACCGGCCTGATAAGGTTGCTTGTTTTTTGAGTCCCATAATTGACCTTTCATCATCATTAAAAAAAAGGGGGGGGGGGGCGGGAGAGAGAGGCATATTGAAGACAAATGACCAAAGAACAAATGTGAGGCTGTTGGCTTCACACACACACACACACACACACACACAAAGACCCTTCACACACCAGCCCACAGAACAGCCCTCAGCACACTCATCTGCCAGCTGAGTCGGTTTGCAGTAACTTGAATCTCTTACAATCGCGGTGGGTGCCGGCTGCAGTGGCTCAGCGGGCGGAACAGCAGGCCAGTTTGGCACACAAACAGATTCACCTGTGAACCCACCCAGGGGGGTTGCCTGCCCACCTTAGGATGAGGGGTGGGGGACTGGCTGCCAAGGACACAAAACAAAAACAAAACCACAAGTGGGGACGAGAGCTGCAGGTTCTAAACAGGGCGGGGGCTCCCCTAATCTTGACAGCGCGGATAATAGGGGGGGGGGTCCCAGCACATCTGCTCCGGAGGCAGACAAAGAGCGAGGTGGGGCGGGCGGCCTGGGCGCCCGGAGGGGCCCTGGGTGGGGTGTGCGCTGCATCATTTACCCTTGACTTCTCCCTCCGCATCTGGTGCGGGCGGGCGGGCAGAGAGGCGGTCCAGATGGGCATCCTGAGTGTGGCCACCCCGCCTGCCCGCCTCCGGGCTCTGGCGCAGATGTCGCCCGCGGCGGGGGGCTGGCGGAGGGGGGTCCCCCACCCACCACACCGCCCACGAAGCCCCGTGCCCTGTGTGCAGGGATGGAGAGCGCAATGCAAAACGTTCCTCTCCGCATGCCCCTGGGGTCCCCTGGCCGGGCCCAGCTGGGATCTGAGCGCCCAGCCCATCACTGGGTGCTCCTGCGGAGCGGGGGGGCCGGGGGGGGTCCCCGGGGACAACGATAACCCTGCGCTGACCGGCGAGGGGTGCGGGGGTCCCCGCAGCTGGCACCTCCAGCAGCGCCCAGCTCCGAGCTCTCCTGGGGGCGCAGGGGATGGGTGGGAAGGGGGCCCTCGGAGACCCTGGGGGTGGGGTCCGCAGAGTCGCCTCCATGCAGGGCAAGTCCATGGAGACAGACCGCGCAGTGACAGGCCGGAGGCGGCTGGAGGGATCCATAATTTATGATGTTGTTCTTAGAGGTTGGGCCTGGGATTTCACAAGCGTTGTCTGTTCCCTTCCCATTTGTTGCTTCCATCCTCTGAGAGAAGGCTCCTCCTCCCCCCCCCCCCTCCCTGAGACAGTGGCAGTGTCCTCCTGAATTAATTGGAAAAATAAGTGGGTTTCTGCATGAGATTCCTGAGGGGGCTGCGGGGGACACAGGTAAGGGAGGGGCTGAAAGAGGGAGAGTTTTGTCTGCGAGATACCTTCCACCAATTTCACCCAAACTGCAGAGAGAAAGGACTCTGTTCCCAGAGAACTGTTGTGTGTGTGTGTGTGTGTGTGTGTGTGTGTGTGTGTGAGAGAGAGAGAGAGAGAGAGAGAGAGAGAGAGAGAGAGAGAGCAGGTCTTCCCCTGCCACCACCCATCACTCTCATCACTTAGAAATGAGTCTCTTTCCCCCCCTCCCCCATTTCTGTGAGCTCTGCAGTCCCTCAGAAAGTGATGACTTGGGTCCAAGGAAGGGAAGGGTTAGTTGCTCCTCCTCCTCCTCTTAAGGAGAAAGGACACCTTGAGGGACCCTTGGGCAAAGGATGCTCTCGCCCTGAAAGTTCCTGTAATTACTGTCATGATTGGGGGGAGATTTATGGACTTTATCAGGTTTTCATGCAATAAGTGAGTGAGTGATGGGCACCAAAAAAGATCTCAAACTAGGTTGGGGAAGTTTTTCTCTTGTTCTGTTTCCTTTTTTTAAAAAAAATGTATATATATATATTTTTTTTTAATTTATTTTTTTACAGAGAGGAAGGGAGAGGGATAGAGTTAGAAACATCGATGAGAGAGAAACATCCATCAGCTGCCTCCTGCACCCTTAGGGGGATGTGCCTGCAATCAAGGTACTACATGCCCTTGACCGGAATCGAACCTGGGACCCTTCAGTCCGCAGGCCGACACTCTATCCACTGAGCCAAATTGGATAGGGCTCCTTTTTCTTTTCTTGAAAAGAAATGTATTCTAAGAGCCTTCCTTTTCCTCTTTTGGGCTCAGTGTTGCTCAGGGTGCATCTGTTGCAAATGCGCGCGGAGGCGGGAGCGGGTAGACTTGGGTAGGCTTGACTACAAAGAAAGAGGCCTCAAGTGGTCACATCCATTCCAGTGGCCCATGCTGCCCGGGGGCCGAGGAGGGAGCAGGCCAGGCCTGGGGTGATCTGCGAACCCCAGAGCCCGCAGCCCCTGCAGGTGGCCGGGTCATTGTGTGGGTTACAAATGACCACGTCAGGTGGAAGCCACAGTCGCTGTGGTTACAGGCAACTGTGATTACTCACACGTTAGTGACCCAGTTATGGCACACCCTCTTTAAAGGGACATCGTTCAACAGCTTCCCAGCTCCAGCTCAGAAATGTCCCGTGTATACAAGGAAGATGAAGAGCGTGTGGGGTGGGGGATGGAAACCTAGGGCGTGTGCGCTGTGCCAGGAGTCTGCTTTTCTTAAAAGGAGCAAATCTGGGGTGTGCCTTCGGAGGCACGTAGGGTTTCACCGAGCTCTGGCCAGAGGCTGCTCGCCTGGTTCGGGATGGCCTTTTGGGAAGGGAGCGTAGGAGAGCGAGCGCCACCCGCTGAGGGCCCTGGGCACTCTGACTAGGCCTGTCTGTGCGTGGCCACCTGCAAAACGAAAGTGGGGAGGAGGCAGGAAGGGGAAGAAGAACCCGGCCTATGGAGGCTTGTGTGGGTTTTTACTTTTTAAAAATAGCATTTCTTTTTTTTACCACAATGGCACAGGAACCCAGCAATCGTAAACAAATTAGTTTAGGTTCTTTTATCTGAAAAGTAAGTAGAGCAAGTCTGTCTCTCCTTAGTGACTCTCTCTCTCTCTCTCTCTCTCTCTCTCTCTCTCCAAAGAGGAAATGCAAAACAAAATTCCCCGTCTTCTTAAAGGCTTGCTGGCTGTGAGTGTGTGTCCAGGAACAAATAGCCTTTTATTTGTCTCCAAAAGTTCATGAGCAAAACGTGTCCAGCGTCTGGTGCCCTACCGTCCAGGCCCCGGCGGCATAGTGCACTTTTCTGTCCTGAATCTGTGCTCTGTGACCACAGTCCTTTAATCCTTCGGAACAGAAGGCTCTTTGGGGAAAGAAAGCTGGGGGGTTGTGGGGGAGCAACATTAGAATCCGTCTCTTCACGCCCCTCCACCCCCGCCCCCCCAATTTTGGCTGTTTTTTTTGTTTTTTGTTTTTTTTCCCCAGTGGGTGCTCCAGTTCTGATCTTTCCCACACCTCCTGGAGGGGAGGCAGGGAAGGGTTAACTTGCCAGGGCAGGTTCCCCTGCTGGCCCGCCTCCCTGGGTGGAGCAGCTGGCCAGGCACCACCTAGGAGCTGTTCATAAAAAAGGAAACGCCCTTCTCCCCGATGCCCTTTATCTCCTCTGGAGAGTTTCCCTTACAGAGTCTTTCACACCCTCTTCAGGGATGAGCGTCTTTTTAAAGCCCTAGGTTCCCTGTAACCATCGGGGGTTTACCGCCATTCCAGACATCCCAGATTAGCATCCAGAGAGACAAATAATTAGGGAGAAGGTGGACAATCATCAGGGAGGTGGGCGACAATAATTATTTGTAACTAAATCTTGTTTGCTTATAAAGTTTTCCACTTCTGGTCACTTGTTGTGAGCGGACGCTTCAATTCACATGAATTTAGTTTGTTGCACTTCCGCTGGGCGGCCTCAGTACGGGCCAGTTGCTTCCCGAGGTGCCAAGGCCACCCCAGGCCACGTGCTCCTGAAGTTCATCTTCTAGTCGGGAAGGGAGCTAAGAAGTGATTTCTAAAGTAACTTTGGAAGAGGGATCTGTGCTTTGAAGAGAACAAAACAGGACAGAGAGAAGGCCTCTCTAAGGAGCTGTCAGTGGAGCTGGGATCAGAAGCAAAGGGAAGACAGCCATGGAAGGCAGCTTCCTGGGAGAGGCAGGCTGAGGCTGGCATGAGCTGCTTGGGTCAGAGACAGGAAGAAGCTGGACACAGGGCTGAGGGCAGACAGGGTGGAGAGGAGGCTCATGATTCCTTCATTTTCGGATTCTTCCGCGCTCTCCAGGGTAGGTGATTCACACAACTCTAGGGGGCGCTGCCCTAACTGCCAGTCTGCGTGCAACCCGCATCTGCTCTGGCTGACTTCTGCATGCAAACCAGCAAGACAGCCGAGAGGCCGGACGCGGTCCGTTTATCTACAAATCTTCCTTGACTTGACTTGAAAGCCAGCACTGCTGATTGAAAGCAGAAGACAGCTATTGAGGGGGAGTAAAATGTCCGAGGTGGGGGGTGGAAGTAGAGAGGGGTGAGCCTGTGGAGTTGGCCAACTGGTGGGCACAGGCTTGGGTTACATAGTTCTGAGGTGAGAGATGAATGACACAAAGCACAACCAATAGTTCTCCCCGTCCCCACCCCCTCCAGGGACTTGTGCCCAGCAGAAGTGATCCCCTCAGACCTGGATGGCCTTCATTTCTCCTCTTCCCTGCCCTCTCACTCTACCCATCCCAGGGCTCCCACACCCAGGCCACAGATGAGCCTCCTATTTCTCCCAGGAGGCCCGGGGCGGCCCTCCCTCACTCTCTCCTCCGTCGCAGCCTCCAGGGTGTGAGGTGACAGAGTTGGTTGTTTGTTCTGAGTCTCCTCTTCCTGCTTTCCTCTTTCCTAAATGTAGGTTTTTGATGGGTAGGGGTTTTCCAGTTTGGGGGTAGACTGTGAGTAAGAAGAAGAAAAAGAAGAAATAAGGGAATATTAAATGAGGCAGCCGGGGTGTGATGGCACCTCCGACTTTCATCCCCAGGCCCCTGAGTTTGAGAAAGAGAGTTGTTTTTACTCCTAAGCAAATACATGTGCTCCATGATTGACTTTTTCTGGTTTTTACATTTTTTTTTCTGGGGTCTCCACTTGGCTGGGCTGCCCACACCCCCCTTTCTCTCTGGACCTCGGGGAGTTTCACCACAGGCCTCTGGGCAGTGGATGGGGTTCTCCATCTCTGCCCTGGCCGCTCTCCCTGGCCCCTCAGCCATGGAAAAGCATCTAGAATGGCCGCCCTGGGCTGCATCGCCCTCGGCAGGCAGAAGGCCCTGCAGCAGCCTCACCTGCCCAGCAGGTGCAGCAGCTAAGGGAGCAGAAGCGGGGGCTGCAGCCAGGCCTGGGCCCCTCTCACTCTCTCTCCCTAACCTGGCCGCACTCAATCAGGAGCGTCTCCCTCCAGCTTCCTATCTCATTCAACTTTCCATTCTCTTCCTGAATAGAGATTTCTGCTTCGTTTTGTCAAGCTGCCGGAATCATAGCAGACATGGTCTTCTTCCCTCATTTCCCCAAGATCCAGCTCTGGCTTCCAAGGCAGTGGGTTTGATTCCAACTGTGCCTTTTCCTGGCCATACACTCCTTATTGGTTCTATGATTTCTTGGAGGATGATAATAGCTCCTCTTAGCTGAGTTAAATGAGACCCCTGATGAAGAGTTCCTTGAAACACGCCAAGCCCATGGGAAGGGCTCAAATCTAAGAGACCTGCGTTGAATATTGTGAACCGATCCCTCTTAAGCTCCCTCCTGCCCTGGCTTTTGTAACCTCTCTCTCTCTATGTCCAGATGACCTCGGCCTTCTTCTCTGTCTCCTTGAAGTTCTTCTCCCAGTCTCCTCTGCTCTCTTTCATCTAACTGGGGAGTTCCTTTGGCCCTGGACGTGACTCACCCGGTAGAATCTCCCTCATCCATTCTGCAACTCTCAGCTCTACCCGGGTCATTCCAAATTGTCACCCCCCCCCCTCCCCCCCAGCCTCACCTCTCTGCAGCTGACTTCCTGCGACTCTAAGCTTCACTGGGGCTTCTCATATCATCACAAACCCGGTCTAAAGCCCAATTCATCACCTTCCCTCTAGGTCAGAAATCCTCTCCCCGCTTCCAAATGTCTGATTCTATTCTCAGGGCTCCTGGGGTCCCATCTTCTCCTGAGCACCCTTCCTCTCACCACTGCCTCCATCTTCATTCAGTGTGTGCTTGTCATATAGCGATTTGCTTCCCAAGACCATCATATGCGTCTGGTTCCTGAGTCTAGAGCCTGTGATGTTCTAGTGCTTCCTAAC